GGCTACTGGCTGTTGTAGTTGTTGGGCACCAGCCTGCGGGCTCTGACTCGTAGCAATGCTGTGTGCAGGACAAGGCACTGTCCACTCCTGCACCATTCTCACAGTCGTGGCTATGTTTGAGCCCATTGTGGCAAACCCTGTGTTAATCCATCTCATTGGATTTGTCCTTTGTGATGTTAATAAAATTAGAAGGGGAAAAAATAAAGTTGGGCTTGAGTTTCCTTGCGGTCATCCATCTTGGAGTGCTGTTCACCAGCGGGAGGATTACGATGATGGGTTATGTCAGGGAAGTGTGCACTAGGATGGAATTGGTGAGAGAGTTCACAGAGCTTACAAGGTTGTTCATAGGTGTTGCCAAACTGAGGGCATCAAAAGGGAATTCGGATTGTGTTAATTAAACAAAGAAAAATACACTCTTTACTCCTGTCTTCTCTTTTGCTATTCTTCTCAGCCCTAGTGGGGTTAGAAATAGGGCTCAAGTAGAAAGCAAATGTTTTGAGAATGATGAGGGCAAAAAATGTACAAATGTGCTCGACACAATGTATGGATGTATGGATTGTGAGAAGAGTCGTACGAGGCCCCAATAAAATGATTTTTTTTAAAAAGAGAAATAAAAAGTGAGTAGCTTCTGGGGAGGGAGTTAAACTTTTTAACCTCTTAACCTCTTAAATGATCTAGAAAGCTTTTGGGTCTGCTCGAGATGTTACTGAAGGCAACAAAAATATTTTCCAGAAAAGATTTGAAAACTAAAACAAGTAATGCTGGCATTGCAACAACTTCAGACTACTCAATTTATTAATTATATATATATTTTGCTCTCAACTATTGATCTCTCTTATACTTAACTTACCCCAGTCGTGCCATATTTCAGCATTTTTAGAGACAATTTTAGGATTTATTCATTTCGGAGTCTCAGTTTGGAGACTTAAGAGCTGAACAGGTGAATGACTGCCAGTTTGAACCCACCTATAGGCGCAAACATAGGAACAAGTGTGAGGATGGTGCAGACCAGGTGATGTTTCATTCTGTGGTACATAGGGTCGCTCTGTGTCAGAACCAACTTGATGGCACCTAACAACAACAACAACAACAACAGAGGCTCCTGGAAGATAAGTCTGGCCATCTGTTTCTGAAGTCATAGCCCTGAAAATGCTATGGAACGATGGTTCTCTGCACACCGGTTGTCATCAGTTGAAATAAACTCACCAGCAACTAACCATTACAAAAGTGCCCCATTACCAGTATGGCATCTGTCCAGCTTCTGGCAGAGTAGGCACCTAGTAAAGGTTTGTGATTCTAGTATAGGTGTTTGGGAAGCATACGCTCCGCAGCAACACTGATTGGGCTCGAATCCTCACTGCACCTCGTCAATGACCGTTAGCAAGTTACTTAATGACTGTATATCTGCCATACTTAAAATGTGGGCCTTATCGAGATCTTGGGCTGTTATGAACATTGACGGAGTTATTACAGTGCTGGCCATAGAGTGTTTATTATGGTTATGTACAACTTACCAGCAGCTCTGTGGGAGAAAGATGCAGTTATCTGCTCCGGTAAAGATTTCCAGTATTGGAATCCAATCAATAGTATTCTATTCTTTGTATTTTGTTCTGGGATTTACTCTGACTACATATGTAGAAAGGTTTGGGGAAAGGGACAAATCCAAGACTGAGCAAACAGCTACCTTTTGTTGATGGTTTCCTGGACCTATTAAGTGTGCAGGAAATATCAGCTCTTCCGATTGTTTTTCATGCTTTGGCAATTTGCTAAGTACTTTATATGGGATATATTATAGAACCTATGATAAGCTTTGGTTTGCTCAAGGAAAAACTGAGGCTCAGGAATGAAATGGCCTAATACAGTTAATAAGTGGCAGCAACATGATTTGCACTTAAACTGACTCCAGTATTATAGTTCGGTTGGATCCTAATAAATGCAACAATGGTGGCAGCAGTACATTGACAGGGAGCTGCCAGAGGTTCAGGCCTGATTCAGTAAAGGATGTGCAACAAGGGCTATCATTGCTGATGTCAGATGGCTCTTGGCTCAAGACAGAGAATACCAGATGTTTACTTCTGTTTTATTGACTATGCAAAGCCATTAGCTGTGTGGATCATAACAAACTATGAAAGGAATGGGAATTTCAGAACTCTTGATTGTGCTCAGGCATAACTTGTACATGGATCAAGAGGAAGTTATACAAATGGAAAAAGCGAATGCTGCATGGTTTAAAATCAGGAAAAAATGTACATCAGGGTTATATTCTCTCACTTCATTTATTCAATCTGTATACTGAGCAAATTATCAAAGAAACTGGTTTATATGAGAAAAATGTGGCATCAGGACTGGAGGAAGTTTTATCAACCTTTGATATGCAGAAGACAAAACCTTGTTTGTTGAAAGTGAGGAGGGCTTGAAGCACTTGATGATCATCAAGGACTGTAGCCTTCATTATGAAAATACTAAAATCTTCACAACTGGAACAATAGGCACATCATGATAAATGGATAAAAGGTTGAAGTTTCCCAGGCTTTTGTCTAGCTTGGATCCACAGTCAGTGCTCATGGAAACAGCAGTCAAGAGATCAAAAGACGTGTTGCATTAGGTAAATATGCTGCACAAGATCTTGTTAGAATATTAGAGAACAAGGATGTTACTTTTAGGACTAAGGTGCACCTGGCCCAAGCTAGGAAATGTTCAATTGTTTCATAGGCATGTGAAAGTTGGATCTTGAATTAAGAAGGCCAAAGGAGAATCAATGGCTTTGGATTGTGGTACTGGAAAAGAATGTTGAAAAGTACCCTGGACTGCTTAAAAATCAATGGTTCTGTCTTGGAAGTACTGTCAGAATGTTCCTTAGAGTCGAGGATGGATCATTCCATCTTATATACATTGGACATGTTTTCAGGAGACGCCAGTCCCTAGAGAAGGACATCATGTTTGGTAAAGTGGAGGAGCAGTGAAAAAGAGGAAGGCCTTCCACGAGACGGATTGACACAATGGCTGCAACAATGGGCTCAGGCATGGGAACAACTGTGAGGATGGTGCTGGACCATGCAGTGTTTTCGTACTGTTGTGCATAGGGTTACTGCGGGTCAGAACTGACTCCAGGGCACCTAATAACAGCAGATGAGCAGACTCACATAGACAGGACGAAACCATCTACTGTTTGAATGGATTCAGACTGTAAGAATTTTTGGTAACTAAGATTTCAAGGGTTGGGGCTCACAAAGTGGGGAAAATGATCTGCTAGTCTGTGTATGGGTATGTGCATGCATCATGCATAGTTGGTAATATATATATATATATATATGATGGAATGGTTTTTCAGCGCTAAAGGGAATTAATTGTGGCTGCAACTTGCTTAGTTAACATTTCATGATTGGCCCTCACAAAGTGGGGAAAATGATCTGCTAGTCTGTGTATGGGTATGTGCATGCATCATGCATAGTTGGTAATATATATATATATATATATGATGGAATGGTTTTTCAGCGCTAAAGGGAATTAATTGTGGCTGCAACTTGCTTAGTTAACATTTCATGAAAGGCCCTGAAAGGGCATTGCTGGGGAGGAATAGCATTGAAATAAAAAGGTCTATGGCAGTAGGGAAGTGTAATGAGGGGCGATTTAAGCATCTTTGACTGAGGCCAGATCATGCTTCATCTGTTGTGTTCACGTCGCCTCCAAGTGCCAAGCTTATAGCAGGCTCTCAGTATTTTGTTACTGTAGCAATGATCAGGAAAGTAACATCAGGTTGGTTTTAACTAACTTGATTTACACGGATATACATGACTATTTAGTTTTTGCTTTGTTTCTAAACGGAATTCATGGAATGAATTCCTTGCTAATAGCTTATTTTCTTTTAGAAAGGTCCGTCAGTTTAGCCTTCTAATTCCACTTACTTCATACCCTTACAAATTTTTGAAAAAAAATTCATGTGAAAATTCCGAAGATTATCCGGACAAAAATATGCATAGTAAAACACACGGTTTGCTACATAACCTGCGATGCTTGTGTATGTCTGAGTAACGAAATAACCCAGCTCAAGCATTATCATGTCCAAAACACTGACTACAGTGGTGTGGTAGCTCAGGCTTTGAACAAATCATTCGTACGTAGTGGGCCCTTAATTTTCTAACATTCGTCTGCTTTTACGCTATGGTGAGAAGGGATGAGGTTGTTACTCTGGGGTTAGTGATAGGAAGTCACTACAGAATTCTGCCAAGAACGCACAAATCCACGGATTCGCAATGAGCCTGTCCAAACCTCAGCAGTTGAGACCTGCAAACATCTCAGAACAAGCGGTACATGATTAGTTAGAAATCCGGATTTGCAACAGAAATGGAGTAAATGGCGACTCAATGGTTTTATCCACGACACAGCTCGCTGACTTGCAAATCCCAGCAGTCATTTCTCCCTCGGGAACCAATAAGAAAGCTACAAGTTCCTGCAGCCAATCACTAAGCTGACCTTGCTTAAGACTGACTGAATTCTGGGATTTGTGGTTTTCACGTGGCAACACCGTATCACCCTGCAGGCCATGTAGGCCATGCGTCTGATACGAAAGTTTCCTGTAATAATTCTCGTTTCAGCCCCCGGCTAACCCCTTAGCACTATTGTGAGGTCATGTATTCTTTAAAAATTGTAATATTATTCTCCTCGTATTATATGGAAAGCAATTTTCAGAGTGGAGTCCGCTTGTCTTTTACTCCTCCAGTCCTTTAACCGTCGCTTTAAGTTCTCGCGAGAACTGCTCCTTTGAGTCGTGGTCCAGCCTCCTGAAAGCGCCTGCACGCGAAGACTGACAGCTGCATCAACCAATAGAATTGCTCTGTAGCTAGCGCCTGGAAAGCGTGCGTCGGGAGAGCGCCGTGAACCTTGACCTGGGCTTTCCGTAGCGTCTGGCGTCGGCCGTCCTCGCCCCCGGAGTGGAAGAGGCGGGTTTTGGCGACTTGCCCGAGGGAGCGAGTGCGGAGGGAGTGGGAGTGAGACTAGCTTGAGTGAAGTATCAGGCTCCTCGGAGAGGCCCCGCTGTCCTGCCCGCCGCCCATGAGCTCTTTCTCCCGCGAGCTGCGCCGTCGTTAGGCCGGCCCCGTAGCCCCTGCTTCCCCCGGGATAGGTCCTCGCCTCGCCGGGGAGGGGGCAACCCGTCGAGGCCCCTCCCTGTTTAGCGTCGGCGTCGCTCTGCGACCCTGGAAGCGGGAGCCGCTGCAAGCGAGAGGAGGAGCCCCAGCAGCAGCGGCGGGCAGTAGCTCCGGCAGCGCCAGCGGGCGGGATCGCGGCCGTCAACATGGCGAGCGCCTCGTACCACATCTCCAATTTGCTGGAGAAAATGACATCCAGCGACAAGGACTTCAGGTGAGGCCGAAACCTCCCCCCTGAGCCTCCCTCGGACCCCTCCGCCCGTGGCGTCGGCCCTCCTCGTAGGTTTTGCCCCACCCCTTCGGCCTTCACCCGTTTCCTGGCTGCCCCGAGGTCTCCAGCCTACCTCTAGGCTCTTGGATCCCAGTAGGCCCCTTGCCTCCCCCCTTTTCGGCCCCAATCCCCCTACTCCTTTCTCCCGGCCCAGAGCCGCCTTGGCCTTGGCCCCGGCCCCCCTTTTTTCTGGCTCCCCAAGCGCCCCCCTCACATTCCCTGCCTCCCGGACGCGACACGCGAGGCCGTGTCCCAGGTCGCGCGGAGGGGCGAGAACACCTAGCGGGGAGGGGGAGGGGGCTGCTCCAGGCCTGGAGGCCGGCGGGGGCCTATCCGCGGGCCTGCTCGCGGCGCTAGGCCTCCTGGTTCCCCGGGGCCGAACCTGCTGCTCGGTCGGGGCGCATCTGCCGCCTTCTGCCCCCGAGGTGTGAGCGGGCCTGGCTGCGTGCAGCCTGGACAATGAACTTTTCTGGAGCTCGTCTCGCAGCGAGCTGTGTACTTTCTCTTTGTGTTATTCCCATCGTGAAGATGGGAAAGAGGGGGAGGGGGAGCCAGGATGGAGGAAATTTGGCTGGTATGATTTTCCCGCCAGCATCTCTTGTCAGTCTTCCTAGCCCTGCTCTTGGGTTTCCAGTCTCCTGTCCTTGTATCTAAAATCCCCCCCAGGAGGGTGAGTTGTTGAAAGGGGAACGGGAAAGTAAACTAAGCAAAGGGTTCTTAATGAAAGAGGGGTTTTCTAACATGGGGCCTGGTGACTATGAAGCTGTTAATCGTAGATTTTTGTACTGTAGCTTTGAATCGTCGCTTCCAAGTTCTTGGTAACATGCATGTTGAAGAATTGTTCTGTTTTCTCCTGGTTTCTTACTTGGATTAATGTAGTTACTGCATTCGGTCCTACTTGCCTACCAACCCCTCGCAAATACTCTCAATCTAAAAGAACCTTTTTACTGGTTTGATATTTAAATTTTATTTTCGGGGGCCATGGTAGTGGTCCTAAGTCGTGTATGCGTTTTAAAAGAAATTAGCCAGTTAAAATTGTGGCTGAAGAGTACTATTTTGTGTAAACAGTACATCGAAAACATTTCAAACCTTATTGACCAAGAAATTTGTTTGTTACAAGAGAACGATTAATAAAATGAATGATCGTGTTCCTAATTACATAGATATGTATTAAAATGGTCAAGAGAGTGTTCTGTGACTGCAAAATCAGATATGATTTTTAAGAGTTTGATTATGTAACGAATTGTAAGAAATGTAATTGAAATGGATAAAACCTACTTTAAATCCCCAGACTTTAGTGTTGTGACATTTTGGAAGTGATGAGTTTTGGAGGGTTTGGAAATTATATCTGTGGTGTTCTAAGGCCAAATTAGATTATTGGGAGAAATGAAAGTTAAAAAATGAAAAATTAGAATGTTATCAAATTCTCTTTGGGATTTGGCTTGTTTGCAATTTATTAGCTAATTGAAAATTGATATAAACATTTGAGAATGGAGTACGCTTCAAAAAATTAGTGGAAAAATAATCACAATTTTTCTGGAACTTTTTGAAGTTCCCTTGTAAATAATTTTAACCAGTATAAGGGGTGTGTGTGTCTTCTCCCTTTTTTTCCATCACTTTTACTTTTGATTCACATGGGAGTTAATATCCTACACCATTAAAATCCCCATATAATTGGTTTCCCCTAAAGCCTACCAAATCGTGTAATGTTGACCAGAAGCCATACCACTAACAACCACCACCGAATTCACTGCCACAGAGTCAGTGCCGACTCACAGTGACCCTTTAGGACTGGGTAGAACTACCTCTGTTGAGTTTCTGAGATTTTAACTCTCTGAGGAGCAGCTGGTGGTTTTGAACTGTTGACCTCATGGTTAGCAGACCAATGCATGACCAGTACCCACCAGACAGTTGATTAACCACTAACATAAGCATTTTATTAACATGTATTTTGTGTAAATATTAACATGGAAAACTGTTGGGGTTGTGTGTTAGTCAAACTACTAGCCTCTCTGCAGGAGAAAGATAAGACTGCTCCTTTAAAGAGTTACTACACCGGCCATAAAAAAGGATGTTTTCAATACAAGGTAAAAAGTTATTTTGCAAAAAGTGCATAACTTTTTTGCAGATTTTTTTCTTTAACAAATGACCATAAGCTGGATTCATTTATTTTGAAATGGCAGGTACCTGCGGCTACAGAGCTCAGTCCACAATGCATATCAGCCAACTTTTCTTCTGATGTCATGACTTCTCTCTGCTCCTTGGGAGCATTTCCAGCACCACTAGTGGCACTTCAAGGTTTTCATATTGCAGTAAACAAGTTTGATATGACCCTGAAGAGATCCATTTTTCTTGTGATAAGCAATTTACTGGCGTTTCAAACTGTTGATGTGGTCACACAATGTTTTAGGGCATTTAGGTGGACGTGAGCATTTCAAACCCAAGTTGTTTCTGGGGTCAACTCTTGTAAATTTCATTCTTCTAAATGTCACTGTCTGAAGATAGTATTTTTCCTATATCGATTGGTAACTGCTTTATTCTAATATTCAGTCCTGTAAGTAATGTGTTTTGTGTAAGTATTAGAAAGAGCAAAGAAATCACTTTGTTGCTGTGATTGACTTTCTTGATGTATTTATTATTACAGTAAAGGAAACACATTCTTATTTTTATAAACTATGTAAGAAACGATAGCAGTCTGATGCTAAATGACAGTAATGGTGGAAGTTTAAGGATTGTTTACCAACTTGGGTTTTGATGACTCAAAACATGCTTGGATAATTATTTATCCCATAAAATTACAGTGTTAATATAGTACTAAGAGTTGTTGTATACGATAGGAAATGGATTTAGAAACACGGAAAAGATTTTTCATAATTTGGCATCTTGAAGCTTTTTATTAATATTAAAGATGTGTTCGTTATATACTCGTAACCATCAAGTCTTTTTTTCCAAGAAGTCTATTTTTGGCACATTTACATATCATACAATTCAATCATTTCGAGAAGAATTGTACAATCATTACTACGTAAATTTTAGAACACCCCCCCCCATGGTTAAATCACCTTTAAAATTAGTTGTGCAAATCATTCAGTCCTAGTGCCCCCCCCCCTTAGTTATTTAATCCTGAAATCCCTTTTCCCCCTCTCCCACTCCTTACATCCCCTATAAACCCTTGCATCAGTTATTTTCTCTATAGATCCACTCCTGGGATTCACAAACTGGGAAGCTCAACAAAATCAAAATCAAAATAGGGTGGTAAGGATAAAATAATAATGACGTAAAGATAAAAATACAATCATGAGGAAGAAAGAAAAGGCCCCATCAATATTTTAAAAGTTAGGGAATAAATTTTTGTCATCGAACAAATAAGAAGATACTTGCTCCTATCCCATCTAGAGGGAGGGAGGTCGACTGCTCAAGACTAGAGTTCAATCCAGCATAATGAAGATTACAGTGGTCTCTGATACGTAATAAGGCTGTTGAAGACTGACTCTTGCTTGAGGGGATTTGCCTGCGCCTTAGTCTGACTAGACTCTGCAGCTGGGTTTGGGGCTCTCACTGTCCTCCATAGCCTTCTACAAATGGAGTGTTCATAATTTTAGCTCTGATACTTTGCCCTTTGCCATATTCGAATTTTGTAATTGTCATCTTTGGATCACACAAAGTATGTGCTTTCATGTTAATAGTCTTCAAGTCTTTGGGACTAAAATGTAGTGCTTATTAAACAGACATTTAAGATTGTACGTAAATGGTGAGCATTTAAAGTACATTGAAGATGCTTCCATGTATTTTCAGTGCAGGCAATTAAAAACTATACACAGATTTTTTAAAGCTTATTTATTTAGAAGTGTACATGTCATAATTTTGCTCCTCATAAATGCTAAAATATTTAGTGCCAGAAAGACCTTGATGACAAGGGTTGCTAATTATGGAATACCTAAAGTGTGTGGTGTGCCATTATATAGTTTGCTAACTGAAAAGTTAAAGGTTCTAATCCACCCAGAGGTCCCTGGAAGACCCGGTGATCAATCAGCCATTGAAAAGCCCATGGAGCACACTTAGAGTCTAACTCACAGGGAATCACCTGAGTCAGAACCTACCAATTCCACAGCAGCTGGTTAACATGTGGAAAGCACCCTGCCTGATACTAAAAGGAAGGGAAGAAATTACAGCGTAAAAGAAACATTTTTTTAGGTAGAATCCAAGAAAATTTGCTCTACTAATTAAAAACTGATTACAGGAGTATTTCAGCATAGAATTACCAGAAATTCAAGCTGGATTCAGAAGACCAAAGGGAATGAGTCAAATGAGTCTATTTGACGGCTGATGTCAAATAGACCTTGACTAAAAGCAGAAAATACTAGAAAGATATTTACTTGTATTTTATTGAATATGCCAGAGTTTGGACTATGTGGCACATAGCAAACTATGGGTTACCTTAAAGAGAATGGGAATTCCAATACACTTAACTGTGCTTATGTGGAGCTTACACAAGGAGCAAGGTATAGCCTTACAAACAGAAAAAGGGGTACTGACTGCATGGTTCAAAATCAGGAAAGCTGTGTGTTGGGACTGTGTCCTTTAATCATGACTGATTTCAGTATGCTAGCAGAGAAAAATCATCCGAGAGCCAGATTACATGGAAGATACGCACCTTCAGGATTGGAGGAAGACTCACTGATGGTCTGTGATATGGCGTAACCTTACTTGGCCGAAAGTAAAGACTTGAAGCACTTTTTAAGATCAAAGATTACAAGATTACACCAAGTATCAAGAAAGTCCCCAAATTCTTGTAACCAGACCAATGATGTCATGATAAGTAGAGAAAAAGATGGAACATGTCAGGTTTCACATTTTAATTGTATCCACAATCAACGAGTGCATGGAAGTAGCAGTCAGGACAGCAAACAATGTGTTGCACTGGCCGATCTGCTTTAAAAAACATCTTTAAAAATAGATTTCTTATGCAAAAATAGCACCTTGAGCATTAAGGTGGAATTGACCCAAGCCATAGTGATTTCATTGTCGTCGTGTGCATGCAGAAGCCGAACAGGAAGACGAGAAAAATGGACTGCCAGAAGAATAAAAATCTGTTGGAAGTGTCACCAAGAATGTTCCTTAGAAGTGAGGAAGGTAAGACTTCAGGTGACAGTCTGGCCTTGGTATCATGAAGGGCCAGACCCTGGTGACTTGGTAAAGTAGAGGGACCTGCCGCGAAATAAAGGAAGACTGTCACCGAGATGGATTGCCATGGTGGCTGCAGTAATGGGCTCAAACTTCTAACTGCAGTTGTGAGAACTGGACAGATTGCTGTTGGACATAGAGGGGTTGTCAGTCAGTGGCACCCGACAGAAGACCTGCCTGACTTTCCGTGAAATATCTGCGAGACTGGGCAAGTTACTCATTTGGGATTATGTGTTTTTCTTTTAAGGGCTTTTAAAAAGATCCCTAACATTTTAGGCTATTTGCTAGCATTATAGTCTATTAATGTAGAAAGGTAAAGAAATAGGTGTACAATTGAAGGTTTTTAAATTGACCATTGAAAACAAAACTGTTTTGTAGGACTTAGATCATAAAGATAATTTATTTGGAAAAATGTCTTTCTCATTTATTTTGTGTTTAATTCTGCCTTTCTCAAAGTTGGCATAAGAAGAGTTCAGGAGAAATGAAGATATGAGGAGAATTCAAAAGTTTGTGGGAAAATTCAGTGATCTTTTCATTTTATCTTTCCATTAACTTTTGAAGCACCCTCACATTCAGGTGAAAAATGTCAAGACTAGGACCTCTATGAAAGAGAGAGGAGTCCTTTGTGTATTTAGTGTCCTGGATAGTACCTAAAGTAAAGTGATATATTTCGAGTAGGAAGGAGATGACTGTGCAGATATGAGTGAACCCTTTAATGTAAATAAGCCATGTTTCCATTATGAATTTATGATTAGAAATATTGAGTATGTAGTGTGTTAAGGCAATTAATGACATTCCACTTGAATTTTTATGTACTTTACCATCAAATTAATTAAAGTAGTCCAAGGAATCAAGAACTAAAAATACTTTATCTTTTATTGCTTTAAACTGTTTGCCATCATTCGATGCCAGATCACAGAGGCACTACAGGACAGAGTAGAACCACCCCTGTGGGTTTCCAAGACGGTAACTTATTATGGGAGTAGAAAAGCCTCATTTTTCTCCTGCATAGCAGCTGGCGGTTTTGAACTGCAAACCTTATGGTTAGCAGCCCAACAGATAACCACTAGGCCACCAAGGGTAAAATTGTGTTTTTATGTACGTGGGAAAGGGTTATGGTGACAGTTATTAGTGTGAAGTGTAAGGTATCTTATTTCTTTTTATCTACATTAGGTTTACTAAGTTTAAGTAAATCATGGTCTTTCCTTCAAGAGATTTTCTGATAGTAGAATAAGCCAGATGCGTTAAGTTCCAGAATATTACTGGGACTTTTACACCTGGTTTTTGTTCATCGCTGTGCCTGGACCCTGGCACTATTTCTTATGCTGGCACTCCCCAGAATCTTGTTAAATAAATGAATGGAATAGTACTGCTTACTGATTATATTCATTTTATAATCCTTTAGTAGCCTGAAAATAAGTACCTTAACATTTCCCTCTTAAAACCCAACCCAACCCACTGCAATTGAGTTGATAATGACTCATTGTGGCCCTGTAGGACTGAGAAGAACTAGCTCATGGTTTTCTCAAGGTTCAAATGTTTATGGAAGCAAGTCTGTTCCCATGGACTGGCTGGTGGGTTTGAACTGCTGGCCTTTCAGTTAGCAGCTGAGCACCAACTGAGTAGGATAGTCACTATCCTTTCACAGCCAGTAAGTTGGTTCTGACTCATAACGACCCCATAAGGTGGTGTAGAATTACCCCCATTGGATTTTGAAGATTTTAAATTTTTATAGAAATAGAAAGCCTTATCTTTATCCCTCGGATTGACTGGTGGGTTCGAACTGCTGACCTTGCAGTTTGCAGCCCAATGTGTAACCACCGTGCTACTAGGGCTTGCTTCTGGAGGGTTATCGGTAGTAAATAAATAAATGGTGAATAAAGGAGTGAATCTGTATGTCAGATTCAAATAGGACCACTACCGACACAGCACTTGGCAACAGGATGCCTTGTTTAAGCGATTAAAAAACAAACAAAAGTAAAAAAAAAAGTGCATGTGTATTGATTTTTCTTATGTTGCCTCATTGTCAATAAAAACTTTTATTAGTAAGCAGTTTTGCAGAATGTGGTAAGAATTATGCTTGTATGAGTTTAAATTTTTTGCATGCCAGCATTTTTGGAAGACTTTATTGGAACTATCCTGTAAAGCTATCTGTAGCATTTCAGATCCAGTAGTTGTGCTTAATTGATTTGAACACGGCTTTTGGTATTTCTATGTACAACATAAAATACTAGATTTATATTTGATTCTTAGTTCAAATAAAAGAAAAAGTCACTGAGTAATTGTCCCTTGTCAGTTGGATTATTTCCATAGGTCGCGGGAACTAAGAATCATGGTCGAATTTAGGACTTTATTTGAATGATGATCTCCCATTTAGAGAAAATTCTTTTAAAATGCTGTTGGGGGGGGGGGGATTTTGAGTCAATCTACCATAATTTGATACTCTTGTTATTTATCTTTTCATTTAAAAACAAGATTAGACAGTTTGATCACTGTTGTTTATTTAATTTTGGGGGTCAGTCTACTCAATGTTAAAAGGTATCCTGGGTGGCACAGCTGTTTGCTAGCTCTTGTTAATCTAAAGGTTGGTGATTCAGACCCAGCCAACTGCTGGCTCTGCAGAAGAAAAGCCTGTCTATATAGTTCCCCTAAAGACTACAGCCAAGAAAACCCTTATGAAGCCCTTCTGTTCTATAATACATGAGATCACTGTGAATCAGAGGCCAATTTAAAGGCAGCTAATAGCAGCAAACCTTCTTTGCCTGTGGTTCTTAAGGGGGTTGGGAATAGATGTGATATATAACAACTTTCTTGAATCATCTCTTGACCAATTTAAGGATATACTGAATACCTTGGGGTGAGGATAGGAATTTATATTTTGGAAGTTCCCTGGCAATTTGTAAAATTAGACCCTTCAGAGCCCAACACATAGCACCATTATACAGGGATACATGTATATGTATGGTTTATGTTTATGGTTAAGAGCTTCCTGGATAAAGTTCAAATCACATGTAAACAGTTGTACTAGCCCCCGATAAAATGACTTAAAAGAAAAAACGGCTTCCACACCACATTGGAGTGGAATGCACACAAGAGCATTACTGTTGGTCTTGTCAGTGACATTGAAATCAAGATTGACCTTAAAGAGTAGATGATCTTGGATAGGTACTTTATTTAAAAGAAAATAGTGTGATTTTGAAGGAAATGTGGAAATATTATGAAATTGAAAAAATTAAGTATATCTTTTTGTGCTTTTCGTTTAAATTTGGAGTCACTTAAAAAACCAACTTGGTTTGACAGTGGTTTCTTATACAGTGTGCTGTTACATGAACTGGTAACATTAAATTTTTAAATTCTTCTTTCATTGATGCTTTAAAATTTTCAGATGACCAACTGATGTCTGTTTTTGGATAGGTTTATGGCTACAAATGATTTGATGACAGAATTGCAGAAAGATTCCATCAAGTTGGATGATGATAGTGAAAGGAAAGTGGTGAAAATGATTTTGAAACTATTGGAAGATAAAAATGGAGAGGTCCAGAATTTAGCTGTCAAGTGGTAAGTCATATTTTACTTGTTTGCCCTCCTTGATTAAATAATAGAATATCCAAATTTAGTCTTATGCTGTGTTATCCTATGGTTTTCATTAAGAGACTTTAGGTCACTGGTGTTTTTTAGTGCTTGAACATGCTATGTATAATACATTTCTTCAGCTTGTATGTAGGTTAAATGTGGATTTCCATTGAATTTTAAAACATTTTTATGAAATGTATGAGGGAGCTTCAGAAAATCATGGGAAAATGGAATTAACAGACAATAAAAATTTTTCACAGACTTTTGAAGCTCCCTTGTGTATAGGAAACTCCAGAAATAGGGGATCTCTCTTATAGTTGGCTACAACCTGATTTGATTTTTAAGCAAGGTTAAAATGTCTACATGCTTTTGTCCCATTTCTGTGTGTCTCTGAGGAGAAAGGAAAATTATAAACCTAATGATTAAAGGAAATACATTTAGTTGTAATTAGAACCTCATAATCAAGAATAACAGCTGTTAAAGCACTGCTGATACAATGATGATAAAGTATCTTCCTAACTGTATAAATCTACTAGGAACTTTTCAGTATAATATTGGTAGTTGGACTTGATAGTAAGGTACAGCATTTGAGTTCTCAGTAAATTCTAGTAAATTCTATTAACAACGTGATTTAATTTATGGCTACCAAATATTAGGAACCCTTAATAATTTACATACCATTTGGTAAAGGTAGCCTTCAGTTTCACATTAAAATGTATTATGTATTTATGTAATTTTGTATATCATTGTATTTGATATCAATTTAAATTAAAATTTGTCTCAATATTACTGTTACGGGTTTTTTTCCCCTTTCATTGTGTCTGTTTGCCAGTTTAAGCTTTTTTTACACAAACAGTGTAGTGATGTTAGTTATGTTCACCATTGTGCATCTGTCACCATGATCTGTTTCCACATTTTGTCATCACTTTTAGATGACAAGAACTCCAACTGTTACCAGTTACCCTCCCTCTTCCCTCTACCTGCTTCTGGAAACCACTAATAAACTTTGATCGCTATGCTAGATACTCAAAGAAAATTCACACTCAGTGTCATATAGTCGGTTCTGATATATGGCAACCCTATAGGACAGGGTAGAACTGTTCCTGTGGATTTCTGAGATTGTAACTTTACGGGAGCAGAAAGCCTCATCTTTCTCCTACAGAGTGTCTGCTGCAGTGGTTCTCAACCTTCCTAATGCCACAACCCTTTAATACAACCCTTTAATACAGTTCCTCATGTCGTGGTGACCCCACCTCCACCATAAATTCATTTCCGTTGCTACTTCTATAACTGTAGTTTTGCTACTGTTATGAATCGTAATGTAAATGACTGATATGCAGGATGCATTTTGGTTGTTTCAAATTGAACATAATTAAAGCATAGTGATTAATCACAAAAACAATATGTAATTATATATTGTGAAATACTTATTTCTAATTACAAATCAGTGAAATTTTGTCTTGAAGCATGGTGTAGTATGAGTAACAGTCTTCATGCCAGGTACTCTTATGTGGGCGTATCTGCATGTGGGTGGACCCACCTGGAGACATACAGGAGAGGCGTCTTGGTTCCTAAGACCTTTGGAAATACAGGTTTGCTGATGGTCTTAGGCGACCCCTGTGAAAGGGTCATTCAACCCCCAGTTTGAGAACAGGTGGTCTGGTGCTTTCAAACTGCTGGGTTTGTGGTTAGCTTCCCAAAGCATAACCACAATGCCACCGGGACACTGCTAATGCTACTTACATATAAATGGATCAGACAATAGGAATCCTTTTTCTGTCTGACTTATTTTGCTCAGCACCATGTTTTCAAGATTCATCCATGTCATAGTATATATTTATCACAACCTCATTTCTCTGTGGCAGGAAAATAATTTAGTGTGTGTGTGTGTGTACTTATCATATTTTGATCATCTAGCCCTCCATTGATGGACATTTAGGTTGTTTCTACTTTCTGGTTATTTATGAATAGTGGTGCAAATGTATGTTTCAGTATGTCCTTGCTTTTTATATTCTTGTTGGGTATATACCCAGTAGTGGAATTGATGATTGTGTGATAATTGTCATCTTCTGTCTGCTAAAAATCCCTGATAGTGCAGTGGTTAAGTAACTAAAACCCTGTGGGCAATTCTGTTCTGCCTTCTCCGGCCACTACTGTTAGTTGAAAACTTTTTGATGACTGTGTTTAGTGACTAAAAATCTTAGTGGCCATTTATTTTCATTGGTGTAATGTCTGTTGATGTCCTTGAGCCATTTTTTGAGTGAGGTATGTGTTTTCTTGTTATTGAATAGTTGGGTTTTCTGCAGAATAATTTGTTGTAAGCGAATACTTCACGTAACTTGCAAAAGCAGGCAAAAACTCGAGAAATCATTGGTAGTATATAGTTTTAGATGCAGTATAAATTTCTTTAATTTATGATATTTGTTAAGTTTAAAATGAATCATCAAAAAGCATGCTATAGAAAAATACAAATGCATGTGCAATCTTTAATTATTTTTTAACTTTTAATGCCGAGTAAGCAAAATTAGCTTTCTTCAGAATGTTCTTAGCATTTATCAGTTTTTAAAAGTGATAATAAAAGTAGCTTTTATCTCTATCCTCCATTATTAAACTAAGAATTAAGAGATGTACTGCATAACTGTTAGTTGGGTGTGAATTTTACTGATTAGAATGCGAGCTTTTTATTTTTTGTTGATTTCATTTTGCACTTATTTAAAATGTCAGCGAAAAAACAACATATATTCAAGAAAATAAGAACAACATTAAGATATAGATAATTGCTATTGAGTCAGTTCTGACTCGTTGCAACCCTGTAGGACAGAGTAAAAAATATACGGCTGTAGCTTTTTAGATTCAAGCTGCTGTGTTTTGTTTGTTTGTTTGTTTGTTTTTTCAAGGAGCAATTTCTGGCATAGAATCTCTATCCTTTCCATTAGTAGCCTAGGGTTTAACCACTATCAGCAGGGCTCTTTAATACTAACTCACTCACATAGTCATTGCTATTGAGTTGGTGCCTACTCACAGCGACCCTATTGGACAGGCTAGGCCTGCCCCTGTGAATTTCAAAGACTAACTTTACCTGTCTTTCTCTGGATGAATACCTGATGGTTTCAAGTTGATGACCTTGCAGTTAGCAGCCCAACATGTAATTACAGTGCCACCAGGGCTCCTGAGGAATATGAGGATATATATAAAATCTACTAGGGTTCTAGTTTGTACATGTATGGGCTAATTTGGAAAAACGTGTTCAAACATCTCTGTTCTTGTAAAGATTTACAACCTCACAAGCCCTGAGGAGCACTTCTACTCTATCCTATAGGTTTGTTAGGACTCAACCAACTCAGTAGCAATGGGTTTGTGTTTGTTTTTCTGCTAACATGATGCAGACAGGGTCTCTCAATAGTAATAATAATGCACTTTGCATTAGTCTTATTAGGGTACCTTCAGAAAACCAATCAAAACAGCGACTTTGGAGGACATAAGGCCTGTTAAATTCAAAACAAAGAGGCCCGCTCAGGACATTGTCGATTTTTTTTTTTTCATGGCATTCCTAAGGAGTGATCTTACATTTTCTTGAAGGGCACAGAATGATCATGTGAATAGGAAGAAGTTTTAAGAAAATTGTAAACTGCATTGCTGAGAAAAAAGATCAAGACATGTGCCATGAGAAATTTGTTCTCGTCTTGACAATCCAGCTGCTCTATTTGAGAGCGGCAAGGTTGTCTTACAAGAAGCTCTTGGAGGAACAGTAACCCAGCCCGTGGAACTTGGAATTTCCCTCCTGCAGATCTTTGTCCTCAGACTCAAAGAACAGTGAAAAGGAACGTGATTTGAGTCCATCAGAGATTCCCAAAGTGCCATTATTTTAAAGTATTATTGGTATTTCATCCACTGTTAGTTTGGGTGTTAGTCTGTGTGTTAGTCTGGGTAGACGAGAGAAACAAATTCATAAACAAACATATGAGTATAAGAGAGAGTTTTCTATAAAAGGAAAATGCATCCCAACCCAATCCAGTCTAAGCCCATAAGACCAATCCTAGCCCATATGTCCAATCCTAGCCCATATGTCCAATAACCAAACTATAAAGTCCTCTTCAGACTCACGAAACACATGCAATGATGCCGAATGCAGGACAATCACAGGCCAGTGGGTAGAAAGTCTTAGGATCCAGGCATTGTAAGCATCTCAGCGCTGACAAGCGTCTCCCTGTGGCTTCTCCAGGTCCAGGGTTTTGGCTGCGTCAGAGTTGGTCCATGTGACTTTTCCTCGGGCATGTCTCGTAGGAAGTGAGCAGAGAGAGAAAGGTGTTTCCCATCTCCAAGGAGGAAAATCAGGAACTCCCAGAATTCTCAGGAGAAGACCATGCCCACACGGAGGCCTCATTGGCTATGATCCCATTGACAGACCTGACTCCACCCCTTCACTCTTAATCCTCAACTTGACAAACGATTATATAACTACCACATCCACAAATCACACAATTCAGTAGTTAATCATATCAAGAAGAGTTGTACGCTGTTCACTGCAGTTATAGAACATTTTCTCTACACAACATTGCTCTACACAGCAGAACATTCACCTGTTCAAGAACTTCCACACATGTAATCCAGTGCCATTCGTTATGTTGTACAACCTTTGTTAATCCTCTCCAAATTGTTCTACCAATAAAATGAACTCAATGCTCCCTAAGCAAAACTCTGCCTCCTTCACCCATGGTAGCTGTGTTAATCTGGGTAGACTAGAAAAACAAATTCACAGACACTCATGTGTATATGAAAGAGCTGTATATAAAAGGGCAGTTGTATATTGAGGAAACATCCTAGCCCACTCCATAAGTCTTATCTTAGACCTATGTTCGATACCAGTCTATAAATTGTTCAGACTCACGAAACACATGCAATGACGCTGAAT